CAATGCCTTCGGGGAACTTCGGGCTCAATCCCACAAGCAAAGTTTGCAGCCGAGTGCATCGCAAACCTAATCTGATCCCACTGTTGGTCCGCTCCACTATGTCGCGGTTCTCCTAGCTCCTATCCCAGCTTCTCTTCATAACGTGCGCAGACAGCTGGATCGCGCAGACGATGGTGAGCTAATTGAGGAGGCGATTTCTGCCGATCACCAATGAGTCGAAGAGCGAAGCGTAGCAGAACTAGTGCATGATCCGACTCAACGCAGGTGGACCAGTAGGATCTGCAATTTTGTACTGAACCACGCCAACGGTAGCTTACAGCTACGTGGTCAATTAGGGTCAATGTGCCCGTTGAATTAGAACACCATGTGGCCGTTCGACGAGAGCTGTGTCGAAAATTGGTGCTAGATAAGAACAGCCCGTGATCCGCGCAGAACTGAAGTAGTCAATCACCGTTGTCTGTTCGCTGAGCGGGAAGGGCGAATTGCCCTCCTAGACAGGCTTCGGATGCGCTCAGTTTTCCAACCTGCACGTTAAAATCACCTGCCAGCACTATAACATCAGAGTTGCGGCTCAACCGAATCAGTCCGGCGAGTTTGTCGTAAAATTCATCCTTTTGGGAAGCGCGACTGCAGTTGGTTAGTGCACACGCGGAAATTATGAACAAACACCTTTTGGTGTTGCTACCCTTCCAAACACTAACTGATCCCTGTAGCCTCATTGCGCACAGACGACTATTGACGGGTATTCAATTTATCATAGAGGCTTCAGCTTTATCGTTTGGTACGATACCTACACCAAGCTGACCCAGTGAGTGGGCTGCGTCGTCTCCTGATGTGCGAAGGAAATAATTCGAGGACAGACCCGGCGCACTCAGGTGGCTTATAATACTAGGATCCTGAATTCGTGTCTCCGATACGCAGCAGACATCGATTTCTAGAGACTGCATTGTACGCGCAAGACACACCTGTTGACCCACCTGCATAAGAGTCCTCACGTTGAAAGCCCCCAGATTGAGAGGTTGACGAGGCTTCAGAATCTGCACTTTATTTACAGGAAAACTAGTTACAGTGCTATTTGGCAAAGACCTTTGGCGAGTGACGACCAAGTTGTCTGAGGGAATATCACGGGTCGAAAGAAGGAGTAAAGGGATAGGGTTGGGTACGGAAGACAAAGAGTTAAACAAAGGTTGGGATGTCTGAGCAGTAGCCCACTTACCACTACCCACTCCGCTCGAAGCAATGGGCAGCGCGGTCCTGATTATCCTGCGCGACGACCGATGCAGTATGAAATTATTTTNTCCAGCCACTAAGCAGGAGAACGATTAGGGTTCGCAACCAAAGCCTTTAGTTTTGATAAAAACCTAACCGCAAGGCAGTGGTTAAGGCGCATTGGAGGCCCATTAGCTTGGATCAATTATTCCTCCAACACGTTTTATCGACTGAGACGCCAACTCAAGTCGAACCCCCAACCTGGGGGACCAGGAGACTGGACTTCGTCTGACCTCTACCCATTGACCTTCCAGGCATGAGTACATTTTTGGCTCGGTAAAAGCCATCCTGTGTAGCTCGTTGGGTCATTGAGGTGCACAAGCCATCACACCACGTCAAGGTGCAGTCTCGTCGTGATGGTGGCCAGTCGCAACCCTAGACATTCGCCCCCGACCATATTGAGGCTTACACTTTTCACCTGCGAGCGGCAGAACTGATATTAGCGTCATCCACCTGGTTTGCGCAACCAGATACCGGTACTAGAAGCCGAAGTCCCCAAAACGTCCATAGTCACACTGTTTGGTCCTTTCGAGTTCCTCTTTATGTTCGGTTTAAGAAACGCCGCAGTTCTTTCAGCGTTTTATTGACGTTTGTAGAGGGTTATACTCGGTATTGGTTTACTCAGACGGGAGCATAGTTCACAGCACGGCGTCATGGTCAACGCACAAAAACGTGCCTTCGGTACCTCCAACATAGATTTCCTCGATCACCGCATCACAGCCACAGGTATTGAGCCACTAAGTGACAAAATTCGAGCGGTAGTAGACCCGCCTGAGCAGCTCCGACGCTTCAACGGTTTGGTCATCGTCGTTTCTTCCCTGTGTGTGCAAGCTCATGCAACCACTCACTGACCTACTTAGGGGTAAAGCTAAAACGTTAATGTTCACATAAATCGCTCGAGACGCCTTCAATGCGTCGAAACGAGCAAGCAGCAACGTCGCAACATTGACTCACCCAGACCGTTCCGCAAAATTAGCACTTGTCGCCGATGCGTCCGACCACGAAGTCGGCACCGCCCCCCAACAAGTTACAACCGGCCGAATCGAGGTACAGCGAATTCGGCCGGAAACTCCTGGCCCTCAACCTCAGTGTCCACCACTTCCATCATTCCCTCGGACGACGAGACTTCGTAGTTTTTACTGACCACTGTCCTATCACTCACGCCATTAAGTCTACCACCGACTCACAGCACCTTGGCTACATCACACAATACACATGCGATATGCCACAGATCTCTGGTGCCGACAATCACGTCGCGGATATCCTCTCACGCACCCACCACCTGGGAAACTGAGACGATACCGACCACCTTTGCTTACGACACCCATCCATACCATTCTCAAGATCGATTACATTGATCCCTAGGTCCCCAATCAAAGAGTCTAACACGACCGAGTCTCCCGGTTAGGGATTTCAATCCTCATGCCACGTCGTATTTTAACTAACCTTGGCCGTTTTCCACCCAGCGGTGTTCAAACACCGACAGTCCATCTTCATCGTGTTTTATAAACGACCAAGTTTCTGGGCAGTATGGCAGGACTTGCCGAACCCCCGCGGCATGTAATCGACCCCTCGCAGACAGTCGGATGTCCCTACAAACTTCTAAAGCTGGCATAAGCCAAACGAGCCTTCGGTATGCGAGCTAACGCACACAGCTACCGAGCTAGACCGCTATAATTCTAGATCGGCTCTGACCACACGGGAAGCAAAATAATTTAGAGATCGTCCGTAAGAATGGAACTAGAAACACACGCAAGGCGCAGACCCATAATCAAGACGCGAGAATACCTTGAAACCGACGGAACCACGATCTTAAATGCCCTATGACCATCGGTGAGTATCCAAAGAGGAACTAGGATGATGAGAACCACGCATTTCACGACGAAAATGTTTCTCCCTTGCTGATCAGACGCCATTTTAACAACTATTGACCATGCATTTTCAAACACCAGTTTTGGTTATCACTTGGCTGCCTATTTGAATGAAAGAACAGATTGTAGATTGAAGTGTTAAAGGCAAATCCTGAGGGAGGATAGGGAACTCATATAGATTTGAGTTCCAAGAATAATGAGGTGCACGAGTGCCACTGATTGCGACACCCAGTCATATCAGTCTCCAACCACCGGTTACTCTAATATCGAGGCACCCATCCAGGGAGCTTAAAGGGACTCAGTGTCCTAGATGTCTTAGTTTGACCGCCATCAAGCGTTTTTTAACCGCTTCCTGCCTTGACAAACACCGCTCGCCGCGGCAACCCACTAGATGACATGCGTACATGTCCTAGCCAGCGTGGCATGAAGGCGACTACCAGTTCCAGTGAACGACTGCGATTACCCAAAACTCTCCGTCTGACCTCGGCATTGCTTGTCCGGTTTCCCCACTGCACTTGTCCAATAAGGCATAGACAGTGGTATTCGAACTCTGATACAACGCACCCGGAGGGCAAAGTAAGCCAGCATCGGGGAACGACTGGTGACCCTCCCTTAACACGACTCGCATCTATGTATCACAGTGACCAGTGAACTCAAAAACGTAAACAAGACCGCTCAGTGGAATGGGCAACGCGCATGAAGAATTTCACCAACACTTGTCCGGATGCGGTCAAACCGACACCGAAGCACTTGAGGTTAGCAACCGAAGTGCACTAGCGCTCAAAAACTCCCGGTGTCGCACACGTTTTGCGAATCCAAACATGATAACGTTATAGCATACAACTCCGAAAAAATTGTCTTGGCTGATTAAAATGTATAATATGCATAGACAAACAATGTTGGGGTACAGAGTTCAAAATGCAACTAATCCGAATCTCTGCCTTTCCCGTCTTGTTCATAATCACTGCGTCGGTCATTGTCCATTTCATCATCTGAGCGATGTCGTTCTGAGCCAGAATGACTGCGTTGAGACCTCGAACGCGACCGTGAGTGGGTAGCAGACCGAGAACGGGAGCGTTCGGGAGTCGCCGATCCTGCCGATCGTGATCTACTTCTGGATCGCGAGTGCGAAACCGAACGCGAACGGGAACGTCTCGAAACGGGATCTTTCGAACTCCCTTCACGTCCATTTCGGCTTGGAGATCGTGAATCAGCACCCTAGGATAACGATAAAATCATCAGAGTAGACTTACTGTAGAACGAGGTTCGGTATGATGGGATGCTGAACGGTCTCTTGAGTGGTGTGACCCTGTACGGTGTGATGGGCTGCGAGACCTTCGATCGGCCGATCCATCGCGGAAACGCTTATGCGAATCGCGACGATCACGCGAAGTCGAACGATTCCGATCACTTGAACCGGTTCGCTCACGTCGACGACGCGGCGAGCGAGNACGAGTCCCGGCTTCGAGAACGAGCGGAACGTTTCCGTTCACGACTCCCAGATCTGGACCGACGAGAAATAGATCGCGAACGTTTATTCGGTCGATCCTCATAGACGCGTAGGCGACGACCATAGAGTTCATACCCGTCAAACTTTTCGATTGCTTCCTGCATGTCTTCATAAGCAGCGAACTCCACAATGCTTAAAAAATAAGACATAAAAAGTTGCAACTCACCCATCGTTTCTCGCGGATTTGTGAGCATCCGCGTAAGTGACGTCTCCGGCCTTGCGCATCAAATCTTTCAAATCCTAAGAACGGGTAGATATGATTAGCGAGAGCACCAGTGTTTGAAAGGGACCAGACGCCGACTTGAGAAGCAGTTACACACGTATAATAAAATCCAACTTTTCGCCACAGATGCAAATCGCTGTAAGAGTGGCTGGGCATTTCGTGCAGAGTGGAGCATAAGGCTCCTGTCAGGGAAAACGAGTGAGGCTGGTTCTCAAGACGGCGCCTAAGCTAGTACTTTAATTTATTTACACGAAGTAAGCTAACCTAAACCTTAAAAAAGCGCGAGCCAATTACCTCGCGTTATTTTGAACTGGCCACAAAACCGAACCCGATACCGACCAGCACCTGAGCCGAACGACCGTTGAACGGCGCGACCAAAATGACTCAGGGGGCGACCACCACGACATGGCAAGCGACCACTCCTACGCGTGCTACGCCAACCGAAACCAACGAACGTTTGGTGACTGGATTCGGGATGACAAACGATTAGTCTCGAGTACGGCCACATTGAAACCAACGGAAACGGGGCTCACCTGCCAGCTGACACGGGAAGACAGATTTTCAACCACAACCCTGTATTCGGTTCTTGTTGGGGGAGCGTACCTCCTAATCAATAGTTGAATTCAATGATAGAACAACGTACCGATCGCGGCCCCCGGATCGTCGACTACCACCTCGCGACCCCGGGGGTAAGCGGGCATGCTCCACTATGATTCGCTCCCCATGCAATTCCCGTCCGTGGCGTTCATAAACAGCGTCCTCCGCATCCTTGGGGTTTTCAAATTCCACAAACCCGTAACCGTTCTTCAGAACAACATCCCGGAGTTTACCAAAACCCTTGAAGAACTTCCGAACATCACGCTCTCCGCAACGAGGAGGGAGATGGCCGACGTATACTCGCGACATTCCTACAGCAGTGAAATCGAAACCGCAATGGCCTAATCAGTAAAACAAACAAGTGAGCCGTACATTTAACTCAGTGTATTCAAAACTCATTTTTTCAATTTTCATATTAAAATTATATTTTTTGCTGGAAAATTTCTCAACAGTGATGCAATTCAGGCTCAACTATGAACATGATGCGATGCACTCTAATTCACGTCTTTTCATGAAGCCTTGAAGGGATGCACGGGTTCCAGTCCAATCCAATCCAATCCAGTTTTCCAGGGCCTAGAGGCCCCGGCCTTATGGTTTTCCTGATTTTGGCTCAACCTCGTCGGTAGACCAATCGAGCTGTATGTTTGTCCGGCTTACAGCACGGTTGATAGTTCCGCGACCCTCCGAGGATGTGAGATTCGTATGTAATAGTTATCGCGCCTATTTTCGGCAAGGCTAAAAGAAGAGGGAACAAACTGTCTTCTCGCCGTGTCGGTGAGAGACTTACGTAAACTTAAGCGTAAGCGTTCCTGTGTGTGCATGCTGTACATGTGTACCAAGATATGCCAAACGTGGCAGTGGGGAGAATAAAAGAAGGAGCTTATTTCCCTTATGTTTTAGGTCACTTCTGGAAAGGTCTGGGTCTATACTCTATCTAATTCCATCTTAAAGACTTGCACTGTGTTTATTTGAACGAGTCTTCCAGGGAGGCGATTCCAGAAGTTGACCACCATGTTGATGAAGAAATGTTTCCCCACGTCCAACCTACTTCCATTCTTTCCTAGGTGATATTCGTCCCTTAGTTCTCTCCTGGTTCTCAGAGGTAGGAGACCTAGATTGGCGTTCTTCGTTTGTCTGAAGACTTCGATCAGGTCTCCTCTTAGACGTCTTCTTCACATAGAGAAGAGGTTCAAGTGCCGAAGCCGGTCCTCGTAGGATAGCCCTTTGGTTTTACGAAACATTCTGGTGGTTAACCATTGCACTTTTTCTAACCTGTCTGCGTCCATTACTCGGTAGGGAGCCCAAGTTTGGACGCAGTATTCTAGGTGGGGTCTGATGAGTGCCCTATACAAAGGGATGAATACATCGGCTTCTCTGCTAGTTATTGCAGCTCTAAATGCAAACAGCGCTCTCCCGGCCTTTTGGGCTGCTTCGGCGCATTGTTCGCTGGGTGCAAAGCTGGCTGAGACCGCAATGCCAAGGTCCTTGACACACTTCTCTTGTTTCAGAGTATGTGCTTCTTGATTTGAGAGCGTAAGCCGCAGGGGAGGGGGGTTCCGGAGCATTCTTGCTTAGAACGCATCATTTGGTTGCGTTCAGCGGCAGCTCTCATCTTACCATCCACAATGAGAGCCTGTCTAAGTCGTCTCGTATTGGTTGACGACTGGACGAGCCGCCAACTGTTTTGACGTCGTGTGCGTAGATGAGGCTTGGGTTTGTGACCTCCTCGGTAAGGTAGATGATAAACGTGAGAAATAGGAGTGGTCCTATTATTGACCCTTGGGGGACACCAATAATCACATTCCCTTGGCTAGAGGTCGGGGATCGTATTTTCACCTGGTATGGGCGATCTTGGAGTGGACGGGATATCCAGTTCCATACCTAGGTCGGAGCCACTGTACGCCTAATTTTAATGCAATAACAGCACGTAGTTAACGGAGTCGAGCGCATCTTGGTAGTCGAGGTAGCAAACTTCGACTGTTTCTCCTTTGTCTAACCTGCTAGTTACTTCGTCTAGAAATACCAGGAGGTTGGTCAAACAGGATCAACCCTTGAGGAATCCATGCTGTGCTTGTGAAAAGAACTGCACGTCTATCAAGTACTCGGCTAGTTTTTTTCTTATTATCCGCTCCATCACATTCAAACGATGCTGGTCAAGCTAATCAGTCGATAGTTTTCTATATTAGCTGCATCCCCTTTCTTGTGGATGGAGGCAATCGTTGCTCTGCGCCAGTCAGCCGGCACTATGCCTGTTGACATCGACTGATTGAACAGTGATGTTAGGTGTTCAGTGATAACCGGTGCCAGCGGCTTTAAAACCGCTCGGTGCAGGTTGTCTGGGCGAACGGATTTCGCCAGGTTGAGTCCGGAGATCGTCGTGTTCTATGATCCAGCTGGGGCTGCATGGGCCTCCACTATCCTCGTCTAAGAGGTTGATTACAAATCCAATAAATCGGGAGATTCCCTGGAAGTGGTCTTCAAATGCGTCTGCAATACCCTGATCCGTGTTCAAGGTTGTTGTCCCTAAATGCATAAACAAACCTTTCGGGATCTAGCTTGCAATTGGACGTAGCTATGAAATCTGTGTTCTAATGTCCTTTGCTCAATGTATTTCATACTGACTTCGGAGCCGAGGCGCCTCGACTGGTGATGAAACGCAAAGCTCGGTGAACAGGCGAAATGGAACTGTACGGCCTTTTTCCCCTGTGAAGTTCATCAAACTCAATTCAGCTCGAACTCGGGTGCGAGGAGACGGTAATCCGACGCACGAACCCCTTAGGCTATCCGAACTGGTTCAGAAACTTGCTGCACGCTAACAATACTCAATACAGCACTGATCCGTTACTGCTGCTCGGAAGTAAGCAACATTCACTCTCCTTGAGGAAAACTGATAAACAAAACCCCAAACTGTTGCCTCTAAAACAAATCATGCTCTGTAGCTACAGATTCTCTCAGTCGTGCGGTTTGCTGAGAAGTCGTGCGCCACGGTCTATCACTGGCAAAATCCGGTACCTCAAAAAACTGAGCGAGAACTATCGATCCGAGGTGAGCAGCTGAGTCGGACCGGATATCACAAAGGAAGTGTGCCGGGACCAGCAATCCATCCTACCCGGGTCCGAATGCCAGTGAACTCGGTGAACGTGAACTGATGATGATTACTAACAAAAGTGAGTTGTACAATGCCTTTGAGGCTTTTCAGCGGTGATCAATACGTTGATTCGGCTTGACGAATGCACCGACTAACCGAATATCCCAAGCCTTCACGCCTGAATATCGAAGTCTTGGTTGACTGACCTACATCGCTTTACGACACCATGAAGAAAACGGATAACTTTAGGACCACCGTACTTCCCGCATGACGTTGCGTAACCGGAGTTTGGAAATACTCCCGCTTTCGCACTCCATCAATATATGGTCCACGAGAAGCGGTCTCGTGTCCACCGGAAAACAGTTACGTGGTTTATTGAACACTGAAGCTCACCAGCCAGTGAAGAATTGTCGAATTATTGTGGTTCTCTTTATGAACTTTTTACCCACCGAGATCGGCGATCAAGCTGGTCGAGAACTACTTTCATTCAAGGCTATTACATCAACATCAAGCCGTTCGCTCGACACTGATTCTTGATGATGAGGAATTAGTTACAGTAATTGCTTTCCCTACCCCAGTAAGCAGACAAATGACAGTAGCATAGTAAATTGGTATGGCCCGCACTAACAATTATCGAGCACAGTACGCAGGACTAAGACAACTTTTAAAACCGACGTAATGTTTCCTTGAATTCCGAATGTAGCGTAAACTGCGCCAGTTCTGCTTCCTAGTTGAGACCCCAAGTTTACCCTTGGAATGAACGCCGCTTAGAGGTTTTCAACATGTCGTCTGGTGCAGATCGAATGGAGCGAGGGTGAGCAACGTACCTCCTACCTTGTTTCGGTAGGAGATCCGATACCGCGTCGAACTCACATTAGGCTGCTACGCCAGTTAGCGCACGTAGTGCGCACGCCCAACTGACGCCAGCAACAACGAACATCATGCGGATGTTCACGGACGACCTGAGGAAATGCATGGTGTGCTTCATGCTGAGCTTCTGAAGACCCTGCAACTGGTTGGTAGGAGACACCGTATATTGCAACGATCTGCCGGCAACGAAGCTCCAGTTGCCATCTCTTATCACCATGCTTCTGAAGACATGCACAGTGGGGCCGTGAGTGTCAAGCTTCACTATCTTTCCCTACCTATAAAAGGAGCCAAACGTGGTTCATCTTTATTATATTATATTTCACACTTGTCTGAGGACAAACTGTGCGCCAAACAAATCGTGCTACAACCATCTCTATAAAAACATTCCGCGATTTGCAAGTGGGCCGAATACTGCTAGGTTGCCCGGGCCAAAGCAGGTAAATTTTCTTGAGGAATCCACAACCGGAGCCTTCGGCTAGCCAAAGCCTGACCCGCAAGGCAGCG